CCCCCCCCTCCCCCTTGTGTACCGTATATCGCGGACGTCGAGAGACCTCGTGAGATTGCGATGGAATCGGCGAAATCACAAATAATAACGCTAACGAGAAGCGTCCTTACGGCGCGTAAAGCGCAAGGCGAAGGAAAAATATAAGACGCGGAGGCGATTAAGTTAATGCAGCAGACAGCGGTAGATACGGAACGAGCGGAGACGCCATACTACGCTGCTCTCTCTCTTCCTTTCTCTCCCTCTCGGTATTCCTCTCGGTGTGCCCTGTAAATTATGAATGAGACAGGTCTGCGAGTACTGTGTGTACCGAGCTCTCAGATTACTTTCGCAGCGCGCGGGGCGCGCTTCAAAGTGCACGAGGTAGCGTGTGTAAGGGCTGAGCGAGCGAGCGAGCGCGAGCATGAGAGAGGGTGGACCCAGGGTGCTCGTCGATGTAGGAAAACACTGCAGCTACCGAGAGGGGATTTTAGAAGCGGCTTTTAACATACAAGAGGGGCGAACAAACGCGGGGGCCGCCGATAGTATCGTAAAATAAAAACACGGCGCGCGACTCATTTTTCGTTCTGTTTATCACCCGGAAACATTTGCACCTCCGCGTTGCCTGTACGGAAACGCATAAAACGTAACGTAACGCCGGTGTTCGCGCCAGTCGGCGCGTTTACGTGTCGCTTTCGTAAGACGTTTCGCAAGGCGTTTTCTATGTTTTCCACGGGAAAATAATTCCCGCTTCTCCTTCTCTCTTTCTCTCTCTTTTTTTTCTCTCTCGCCCGAAAGGTGAGAAATTATTCACGATCGTCGCTCATCGTTCGCGATCGGTTCGAAGAAAGTTTAAGATCCGATGCCCGACGCAATGCGGAGAACACCCAACTATCCATTGTTCCATATTGCGAAATAGTTACACGGTTAGCTGGCGCGCTAAACTTTCTCCAAATTTCCAAACTGTTACGGAGCAGCCTGGGGTATCATACTTCGTGTATGAAAGGCGTCCATTATGCAAAACCGTCCACATAAATTCCGCAGTAACTGCAAGTGTTACAGCATAATTACGTAACTAGCTTAGATGCGCGACTAGCTCGGATACGATTTACGTTCTGTATAAACAATACCGACGAAGTGCGAGCGGGCACGTCGATTCTCCACAGGGAAACATTGATTTTTCACAAACGCGAACGACACATTCGTCTCTCTCGATTTTTCGAACATTTCGCGGGTCTCTTCGAGAAGCTGAACGATTTGCGCGCGCCGGACGATTCGTTTCGGAAATGACTGCAATTAAACGTTGTTTACGCACACACTTGGAGCAAACGGTTGGTCGACGGCAATGGTTAGTGCCGAGTGCGTTCTGATTTGGACCTCGTCAATGTTATTTGCCTGACGATTATTGCTAATTGCACGTTACCGGATGTAACTGAACTGTAAACATGGGGATATAACGAGGTGGATCGCGCACAAGGAGCAGCTAGACTCGAAAAGCCGTAAATGCAGCTTGCAATGGTGGATTACATATCGCAATTTCATCTCCCGTGAACATGCACTAACGAAGGACGATGCTTACCGCTGAATTATAATAATAACGTGAAATCCAATACAGAAATGAGCGTAAGCGATTGTTGAAAATATATGTTTCCAAATATGTATCCTCTGAATTTCCTCGGATGAAAT